CATTTATTAGCTCTGTTCGTTACAATTTCATACTTAATATTGTTTGCAACGTCAAATCTGAACCTGGAAGATCATAAATTTGTTTAGATTAACTACATTCAGCGTTTAATTTGGAGACATAAACTAGATATGGCTTTGATTCGGTTGGATGCGTCGAAACAGTGCTATGCAACGAGCAGTCTTGTAGTTGGTTGTTGTGGAGAGAGAAATGATTGTTGGGGAGAGATCTAAACCCTAGAGAGAGAATAGAGAGAGGATAGAGTAGAGAGAATGAGAGTGTGGGTGTGATATATGAGTATGGGAGTGAGGGACTTTAGGCTACAAAAAAAAATATTATAGATCTCTCCCTTTACTAAAAGTTAGAGAGGGATGGAGACTAAATATCGCAATTGAATTTTACCCAATAATATATATATGTCGTTTTTTTTTTCAATAATATATATATATATGTCTTTTTTTTTGTTTTGTTTTTTTCCGGTATCTCCACAAAATTCATTTGTATATATAAATACTAAAATTACAATTTTTTTTTTACTTGTGCAATGCATGAAAATCACTAAAAATATTAGGTGATAAATCCAATTTGAATATATTATATTAGTGAGTAATTTGATTATAATTTATTTTTCACAATAATTATAATATTGTGTTTTTTGAGCAATTTCATATGACTTTTGTAATTGACATAATCATAGTTATTGATATAGATATAAATCATAACTATTGAGGTAGATTTTGTCAATTTTTGATGTGTAACCTTATTAAGTTATTCAAAAAAAATTCTGACATAGCACAGCTGAAAAAAATTTGTTTTGGAGAGGCAATTGTAATTAGTATAATTGACAATATCCTATAAATAACACATTTAGCAAATTACCAATTTATGCAACAAATGAAGGGAGAGTATGTGTGTATATCCATCCTATTTCCCTTTTGCAAAGATTTTTTCCCGAATTGTGTTTTGTTAAAAAACAAAGTGAAAATTCCACCATTCTATTTTTTTATTTTTATTTTTATTTTTTATTATCTAATCAACTGAATTCAATTTTCTAAAACTATTTCATATACATATTAGACATATATTTAGGAACTTCAAAATTAATTTAATCATTTTTAAGCAAGTTGAAGGTTAGTGAAGATATTTTTATATTTAATTAGTGAAATTTTATTATATGAATATTTTTATTTACTCAATATAGAATTGAATTTTTGAATTTTTTTTCATATGCACCTTAGAAACATATTTAGGAATGTCAATAGATATTTATTGTACTGATTTTTAGAACAAGTTAAGTTTTTTTTAATTACTTTTGAGTCTTGTTTATTTGATGTTTATATTTAAAAATAATAAATTTGATATGGAAAATTAGAAGTTGGGATCATTGTAGTGGGAGTGATGGACTTTCACTAACCAAACAAACAACATTCTGAAATTTTAATGTGTTAAGTTGGATAATTAAATTTCACCAGTGTATTTTTTTCTTCAAAATTTTATAGTTAACATGGATTTTTTTGTTATTTATCTTTCGAAGAGGATTTAAAAAATACAAAATTTACAAAAATAAACATCTATCTAAAAATTACACAATTTTAAACTTAAAAAATTAATTAAAAATATTTTCATAAATAAATTACAGATTGTGTGCTCCTTAGATCTATGTCCTTGTAGAAACAAAACTTATATAAACTTATCATTTTGATAATAAAACCTTATAAGGAGGGTCTTATAACCAAAGTTCTCATATATGAAAGATTAATAGTGTGTTTGGTTGAGGGATTTGGGGAGAGATTTGAAAAGGGAAAGGAAAAAGGTGTGTGAAATTATGTGATATATATATATATTTTATTCATATTTCACCTACCTTTTCCATTTCCTCCCTTTCCAAATCCCTCCTCAAATCCCCTAATCAAACACAGCATAAAAGTCAGCCATTTATGATTTTTCTCCTATTCTCTCTTATATGAAATTTTTTTGTATGTTAATAGAGTATCACGTAACACTATTTTTTTTCAATCACAAATGTATATATTTTATTATTTTTCAAACATCTAATATAAATATAGTAGATTCTACCATCAAAACTAATCACAATAAAAAAAATTTATCACATGATATATATATCCTATCCTTATATAAAAACTACTCCTCTTATACACATTTTTTGTACCATGCACAATTGCCTATAAGTTAAACTTTGTAGTCCCACATGGGCGGAGCTAAATGGTGTTTAGGGGGTCCAATTCAACCCACTCATTAATTTTTTTTTAAAAAAATAAATTGTATTATGTAAATTTTTTAGGAAACATTTATAATTGACGCTATTAAAATTGTTAAAAATAAATATGATGGTGTTAAAATGTTTTGCGAACAAAATTTATATAAAAAAAATTATCCGAAATATAATTTTGAATTACAAGGGTAATGGTGACTATTTTGATTGAAAATGAAAGATAATAATAAGTCATGTAATTCTATATAAAATTTTACTTGTACATCGTTACTTTTTTTTTAATCTTTTTTTTAAATATGAAGTTTTAAATGTTTATAATTTTTCTTTTAATATTTTAACACGAAGGCTTATTAAATTTTTTTTTTTCACTCTCTCTTCTCAACCGATTATAAATTAGTGTCTTAATTCAAATTAAGACACTGAATCACACTACTAAATCAAATTTCTAATTATGTTTATTAGGACTGCAAATGAATAGAACCGTTTGCGAACAGACTCGAACTTAGTTCAATAAGTGCTCGTTCGAACTCGGTTTGTTAAATTATTATTATTATTATTTTGTGTTCGTGTTCGAACTTGTTCTTTCTTAGTAAACAAATCCAAATATATTAAAACTTGGCTCATTAGCTGGCTTATTTAATATTTATTATTAATATATTAATAATGTAAAAATATGTATAAAAAATAAGATAAATATATTATTTATATATTTAAAAAATGTAAACGTAAATAATAGTTAATGATAGATAATACATTTATATAATAGTGGTAGTAGATATTATTAGTTTAGTAAAATATTAACTTTTCTTTTAGTATGTTTGTATATATAATTGTATAATCAAAGTTTCAATTGTAACTTTAGTCTCATACGCATGAATTTAATTTTTTTTTAATCTCGTTAAAACACGTGAACAAGTTTAAACTCGGGTCAAGTCTAAGTCAATTCGGCTCAAGTTCAGTTCGTTAAATTTTTGTTGCGCTCGAGTTCAAACTCGAATTTATTAAAATCTTAATAATAAATCCACACATACTAAAATTCAGCTTGACTCAACTTGTTTACTACCTACGCTACATATCACCAAAAAAGTATAGCTCACATAGACAATGACATCCTTCTAACCCATTTTTCTCATTGAAGTTTGAAATAAGCGTAATAATGAGCTACAAAAAACTTTGGAAAATTTGGCCAAAACCCCTCCATTAGACCCTTATTTAGTGAAAAGAACAACCCATTTATTTTTCTTCATAAACTCTTTAAGGAAAAAACACATAATTGAGTAAAGACAAAGTAAAATATCATTTTTTTTTTCTTGGACAATATTGCTAGAGTAACATGTTATGTGAACCAAAGTAACATGTTACTGTTAAACAGAGTAACATGTTACTGTCAAACAGAATAACATGAACTTTTCAAGAAAAACTTTTTATGCGTGTCCTAAATGCATTAAAATTTTATTATGAGAAGGTTTTGACCAAATCCGCAAAAACTTTTATAAGGATATCCTAATTACACGGAGGCAACTTGACTCTATTTAGATTCTATCGCAAAAATTTTAATTGAACCGTTTGTCAATTTATATAAATATATATTAATAAATTATATTATAATTTTGTGTAAATTATACTCACTTTTCTTAAAATTTGAAAAAAAATATAGTTAGTTTTACAAATTTGACATAATTACAGCAATATTTTTTTTATAAGGATAAAGTGATCATTTTTGATAAGGATAAATTGATCAAAATTAATGCAAATAATAGATACATATATATATATATATATACATTTTAGTAGAATAGACATGATAATATTATTTTTACATTTATATGACTCACAAGTAGATGATGAAAAGGACATAAGTGCTATATAAATTAAAATCTCGAAGAAAATTAGTATAATTATATAAAAAAAAATATGAGACTAATTATTTTTTTTTAAACCTCAATAGAAATGAGTGTAATTTACCCTATAACTTTTATTAAAGATTTTTATATGTATGACAAAGAAAAAAATACATGTTGCTTTTACTTTCTTCGGTGGGAAAGATAAAGATATAAGATTATGGGAAATTTTATGAAAAGTGTGTACCATATGTATTTTGTTATGTGTTTTTGTAGTGTATATTACGTATTTTTATGATAAATATTACGTATTTTTTTGATAGGGATTACGACTATGTATAGTTCATAAATGAAATTATGTATTTTTATGTATTTTGTGGTATTGTTGAAATTTTATTATAAAACAATATTTATCTTAATTTCGTAAAATTAAAATTTTAATGGGTTTAAGGGTGGGGGAAGAAACTTTGGGTGGGGCGCTTATACAGTGGGGCTATTTTTACATGCACAAATTTGCCCCAATGACATTTATGGTATTAAAAAAAAAAAAGTCATATTTTGGTAAGAAATTCGGCACAACATTAACTACTTTCAAAAGATCTCTCAAGGACACATTATAAATAAGTGAGGCATAAGCAAATATATCTCGGCATCAAATAAACTAAAAGAAATAAAAAAGTCTTGCCATAAGGTGAACCAAAAACATTAGTAGTTGATATTGTCGAAGTTTGATTTTACTTCAATGAGATATTGAAGATATCAAAACAAAACTTTATCACTGTTGGTTTGCTGCAATGGCAAGGCAACAAAAAGAAACACAGTTATGGGTTGTGCTAGCAATCTTCATTGCTATGACAACGACTGTATATACTGCTGATGATGACAACTTATTCCCACCATGGCTTCCGCATCCGCTTCGACCACTACCTCACCGTCCTCCCCATATCCTTCCACCTAAATCACCACTTCCTCCAAAATTCCCCTTGCCACCGATATTCCACAACTCACCTCCACCGTCGCCCCGTCCACCACCCCCGTCGCCACCACCTCCACCACCCCGGTCACCACCTCCTCCACCACCTCGGTCAACACCACCTCTACCACCTCGATCACCACCTCCTCCGCCACCCAAGTCTCCTCCTCCACCACCACCTCGTTCGCCACCTCCTCCACCACCTCGGTCAACACCACCTCTACCACCTCGATCACCACCTCCTCCGCCACCCAAGTCTCCTCCTCCACCACCACCTCGTTCGCCACCTCCTCCACCACCTCGGTCAACACCACCTCTACCACCTCGATCACCACCTCCTCCGCCACCCAAGTCTCCTCCTCCACCACCACCTCGTTCGCCACCTCCTCCACCACCTCGGTCAACACCACCTCTACCACCTCGATCACCACCTCCTCCGCCACCCAAGTCTCCTCCTCCACCACCACCTCGTTCGCCACCTCCTCCACCACCTCGGTCAACACCACCTCTACCACCTCGATCACCACCTCCTCCGCCACCCAAGTCTCCTCCTCCACCACCACCTCGTTCGCCACCTCCTCCACCACCTCGGTCAACACCACCTCTACCACCTCGATCACCACCTCCTCCGCCACCCAAGTCTCCTCCTCCACCACCACCTCGTTCGCCACCTCCTCCACCACCTCGGTCAACACCACCTCTACCACCTCGATCACCACCTCCTCCGCCACCCAAGTCTCCTCCTCCACCACCACCTCGACCACCACCTCCTCCACCACCTCGGTCAACACCACCTCCACCACCTCGATCACCACCTCCTCCACCACCCAAGTCTCCTCCTCCACCACCACCTCATTCGCCACCTCCTCCACCACCCAAGTCTACCCTCCCACCACCACCCCGATCACCACCTCCTCCACCACCACCTCGTTCACCACCTCCTCCACTACCCAAGTCTCCTCCCCCGCCACCACCCCGAGCTCGACCTCCTCCACCACCCCGGTCAACACCACCTCGATCACCACCTTCTCCACCACCACCTCGTTCGCCACCTCCTCCACCACCTCGGTCACCACCACCCAACTCTCCACCTCCTCCACCTCTTAGGTCTTCTCCGCCACCCCCACCAACTCGATCTTCGCCTCCTCCACCTCGATCACGACCTCCTCCACCACCCAAGTCTCTCCCTCAACCACCACCTCCTCCACCACCTCGGTCACCACCACCTCCACCACCTTCTCCACCACCCAAGTCTCCACCTCCTCCACCTCCTAGGTCTTCTCCGCCACCCCCACCAACTCGATCTCTGCCTCCACCACCACCACCTCGATCACCACCTCCTCCACCACCCAAGTCTCCACCTCCACCACCACCTTGCTCGCTACCTCCTCCACCACCCAAGTCTCCCCTCCCGCGACCACCCCGATATCCACCACCTCCACCACCTCAGTCAACTCATTAATAAAATAATACTTTTCTCTAACTCATTTTCTATATCAAAAGCACATGTGACTTGCATTGTTAAGCCACCACTCTAGGCTACTTCAATCAATTGAGAACCAAATGCTACAGATGCTTTACGAGGAATAACTTAATTGAATAATTGTGGCAGTGAATCTTGCTTTACAATATGATACTATAGGAGTATCAATAATAACCTAAGTGAGTTATATAAATAAAGAGAAACAGTGTTGTACTTGTATGTTTTTGGCAACTTCATTAGTTGTTTAATAAATGCCTTTTTACATGCATGTTTTTACTACCAAGATAGAATTCAAGTATAAAATGAGATACAAATGATACAAGAATCGATAAGATTTTATTGAATTTGTTCGCGGGAATCACTTATCCATTTATTTTGGGTTTGATTCTGCGATCAATTTTTATATTACAAAATTTATTATATTTAATTTGGTATCTCAAAAAAAAAATTATGTTCTTCCCTAGCTCCTATCCAATCTTCCCATTCATTAGAGGGAAAAAAAAAAGAGAAAAGTAATAAGCCTAGCACATAGTGCAGAAATCTCACACTGTTACATATATGTTGCATAGGGTTTTGACCCTCGACATGACTTTTGCCCTACATTCATGATGTAAAGATAAACTTGACAATTATTTAGTATTGTCAAAGTATGAATTCAATATGTTGATATAGTGCTCCTGATGTAATAAGGTTAGTATTAGTAGTGTGATAAGTAGAATTGATTTGACCTATCTTAGTAGCTTTGGAGGAAGACAATATTGACCCATCCATCTTTTATATGGTCTCATTAATTCGGAGTATCATGTTGTGGACACCTCATTTTTGATCGGCCTTAAGACTTGGGCGTTCCACCCAAAGCTCCAGATGAAGATACAAAAGGTCACTCCAACCAACAAGTAACTGATGGGGAAGAAAGTCAAACCCGCCCTATACCCATTTTGGCCAAATCATTTTCTAGACTCACAAACCTATTTTCAAAATTTTTTTAAGGCAATTTTTAATGACCTGAACCCGTCCCTAGTGGTTTGGATCATGATTGGTTAGTAATCATGAGATTACCTACAACCGCAGACAGAATACAATCATATTTAATAATAAGGGGGCCAAAAAGCAGAAAACAGATTAACAAATTTTTGTCCAATGAGCATGTGCATAAATGGCATAAACAAAAACTTCTCATAAATTAATAACTTACACTCATATATTCATAAAAAGATTCCATATGTCCAAGATCATACTTATGTCATTAACATACAAACACCAAACTTATATACATGAGCAGTCGAGCATGGCCCATAGAAGGAAACAAAAAATCAAAGGACAAAAGAAACAAAAGCCTCGCTTGTGAGACGGTCAGGATATACTTCACAAAAACTCAGTATTCCTTCATAGGTTAACTAAGGCTGGGGCTAGACATTCTGTTGCTCACCTACACACACACACACATATATATATATATAAACAGAGTGAGCTAAAGCCCAGTGAATAATATCAGAGTAAAGGGGTTATGTGATTGAGTTCTAATAATTGACATAAGCATTTCTATATCATAAGCAATTCATAACTAAACGACCTAGGGTCCAATAGATAGCAAAACGACCTTGGGTCCAACGTATAACAGATGTACATAATGAAATTGATCATATCATAACAGAATGACCTCGGGTCCAATCATTTACAACTATATAATGACCATTCGGTCTATCTTGTCAGATATATGGAACAACCTTGGGTCCAATTCGGTTATACAAAATGACATTGGGTCCATTTCAGATATACAGAATGACCTTGGGTCCATTATATGCATTCGTGTCATATCAATCGCATTCATATATATCATATTGATCAGACAGATAGAAACTCATTCATATTTGCAAAATCATAAGTTTAGAAAACATATCACAGTTGGATATACAAAAAATAGAGTAATTATGAAAATATCTTTAGTAAGACATTACTCACAGTGACTCAGTTGTTGATTCGTTCTCGCGAATGATCATACACAATTCATCAATATACACATGTTGAATTATATTGCTTAACTGGATTGTTCTTTAACTTATTCAATTCTCTTAGGCTTCATTCTAACCCTTTAATTCATTTAGGATGTTCAATTCATGCCTAAGAATGCCTAAAAGGAAATGAGAATGCAAAAATGAGTAAAACATGGCTTTTCAAAACATGCTAAAATAGGACAGTTTGCTTGAGCTCACATTGGTTGCTCGAGCGGTCCGCTAGGTTTGAAAAAGTAATGGATGGTTCGAATCTAGGCTCAATGTTCGCTCAAGCCAAGGTGCAAAATAAAAGGCGGTCGCTCGAGCGGTGACTTTGTCGATCGAGCCAACTGCAAATGTTTGCAAAAATGCTGGATGCAAGGAATGTGCACTCGAGTGATAGATTGTTCATTCGAATGGTGAGGCAGAATTCTGGAAATTCCATAATAGAGTTGAGCTTCAAAGCTTGTATCCTCAAATCAACTTCTTTCATGGCTTGACAAAACCTTGAAAAACACTTAGAAATTCTTCCAAGAACATGAATACAAAAACCAATTTGCAAAATTAAAGCTCAAAACTTCAAGAATTCTTCAAAATGAAATCCAAATGTCCATGCTTGTTGATTTTAATTTCACATTCTATTCCAAAGCTTCAAAAAACATGAAATTCAACTTCAGAACCTTATGAATTATAAATCCATGTATGATACATCCTCTAATTTCAACATAGATGATATGAATCATGTTCAAACTTATGAAACTCTATCAAATTATGCATGCATGTATGAATTTACCTCAATTCTTCATTCTAAGCTCAATTCTTACATTTGAATAGATAATCCTCTTGAATTCACATATTTAACTCATGAATTAAGGTATAAACACTTACCTATAATCTTCAAGAACACTAATTCTAGCAAGAACTAGAGTTGTTCAACCAAATTCTCTAACCCTTAAGCAAAATTTTTCAAGTTTGAGCCTCTCTCTCTCTCTCTCTCTCTAAATGAACTCTTCATCTCTCTCTAAATGAACTCTCCCTCTCTCTCTAGAATATATCTCAGCAAAGTTTGAGCTCAAAAGATGAGTTGAGCTCATTACCAACAGAGATATACTAATTAGCTTAATTATCAGTAATGAAGGATTATGTAAATAATTAGGTTTAAGTTTAATTAATTAAAACTTAGTTTTTTTGAACTAAATCAAATTTTAATCAAACTTTCTAGTAGATTCTAAAAATTATGTCGATCACAATAAACTAACCAATTTTTGTTTCTGATGAGTTTGAGCTCAAAAGATGAGTTGAGCTCATCACCAACAGAGATATACTAATTAGCTTAATTATCAGTAATGAAGGATTATGTAAATAATTAGGTTTAAGTTTAATTAATTAAAACTTAGTTTTTTTGAACTAAATCAAATTTTAATCAAAATTTCTAGTAGATTCTAAAAATTATGTCGATCATAATAAACTAACCAATTTTTGTTTCTGATGCAATTAAGGCTTTCAATTTTCAAATCATATCAGAAATCATAACAAATTTTCCTATGATCAATAGATATGTAGTCAAAACCACATTAATGACATAATTATCGTTCAAGTTCACACTTAGCACATAAGGATGGCAATTTGAACCCAGCCTGATAGGGACCTGGCCCCTCGACCCCGATTAGAATGTTCTTTTCCTGAAAAATACCCTCGATGGGCTGGGGACGGTATTCGAAAATGAATGCCCAACAAATTTTGGGCTGCGACGGTGATACGTTCCTTGGCCCTGTCCCCATCCACGTTTTCCCTGATGTAAAATTATTATTATACCCCTATATATAATAAACCAAATCATAAAATAGAGTTCACACTCACACAAACACAACTGAACGCCTCTTATCTCTCTCTCTCTCTCTCTCTCTAAATCCCTCCCATCACCGCCGATCTCCCTCCATCCGATGTCCTCCTCTCTCTTCTCCTCTACTGTCTTCCTCTCCCTCCTCCCATCACTGTTGATCTCACTCATCCTTCGCTGTCTTCGGTGACCAAGAGTTGTGGTTAGGGTTTTCGATCTTGGCGAAAGTGAACTCAGATCTGCAACGATCTGCAACCTTCATCCTCCTATAGATCTTTACTTACTCTGTTAGGGTTCGAACTTGATACCTCTTGTGCAATAGTGAAATCGATAGTTCTGAATCTCTGAGCTTAAGTGTGTGGTTGTCAATGGCGGATTCATATCAAAGGTGAAGGGAGAGAGGCCACCAACAACCTCCTCCTCGGCCACAACTGCGACTTGGACACCCACAACAGCCCTCAGGTTGTGTTTGTGTTTGTGTGTTAATCCATAAACATATGTAGAGTTCTTGTTAAAAGTTTGTGTGAGCTTTAGTTTCCGTTTGGGTGTTGACAAAATAGAGGGAAAGTAAAAGAAAATTTAAGAATCTTTTTTATTACCCAGATCGGGTTGGGAAAGGCTTTTTAATTTTTATGTCAACCATGTGATCTGGTCGATTTATTGCATCCATGTGATTATGATTTATATCAAATTCCATTAGCTTGTCATTTTGGGATTTGTATTCTGAGGTCTTTGACTTGAATTACATATTGTTTGTAAAAGCATATCAATTAAACCATTTAGAAAAGAGGCAAGCTGGTATTGTTGGTGTTGCTATTTTTTTTGTTTTTGGTTTCTTTTTTTTTGGCTAGTGAATGTTCGAGGTCGAGGAAACCCGATCCCTATTAGGGAGCAGGGGCGGGGGCGGGGGTGGGAGCGGGGATAGGTTCCCCGTCGAGGATCGGGATCGGCGTCGGGGAAATTTTCACCATCAGGGATGGGGGATAGGAAGTGTGATCCCCGGCCTTGCCCTGGCCCGTTGCCATCCCTATTAGCACATAACCACATGCACAATTAAGGAATTAAAAACATAATATGTGATGGGGTTGTCAAACAATTGGTACATTTTCATTCATTTTAGCAAATATAGGCAATGTGTTTTCGAAAATGTTTTGATTCGCTTTCCCAAAATAGATAGCTTAGAAAGCTGGAATGAATGGGAAAATATGGAAAACTTTTCAAGAAAACCAATCGGATAAGTTTTGCTTGGCCGGACATCTTTTCTGTGACGTGCCAAAAATTTTTGGCTTGTGGAAGTGTGCTCGGATCCTTTTTTACCCTACCAAACATTGTTCAGGCAACGCGTTGAACAATTTTGATACGTTGACGCGTCTTCGGCTATTTTTCAGCTCTATCGGGAAAATTTCTAAGGAGATACACCGGGCTACTCTATACCGATCGAATAAGTTTTGTTTGGCGCATGCTGTTTTGGCGTCTGCCAAATAGTTTTCTTGTGAGGTGTCCAAAGAATCCTAGAATATTCCATCCGGATCCATGGGATCTAGAGGCATATTCCAAGTCCCAAATGCTTATAAAATCACCTCTCATTTTAAGGGAAGGGGGTTCTAGATTTTCTAGAGTTAGGTAAAAAAAATTTAATCATTACTCCTAATCCTCTCTAATCAATACTTAAACCGTAAAAAGAGAGTCTGGTGAGAATTTTTGGACAACTTTCTACCTATCTTTGCTTGGATGGTTTGGAGTTAGAAGACATCTATTGATCAGAGGTAGCTTAGGTTAGAGCTTATGATCAACTTGAGCTCTTTCTCTGCTATTCAAGAGGTAATCCCTACTTCCATTTCAATTTCAAGTCTATCTCTACTCTTTTTCTTCTATTTTGGAGATTTGTTGGGATTGTTGGCTAGAATTGTTGCTAGCTTAGTTGATTTCTCTCTCTCTCCCCTCTTTCTGTACTTAGTGGAGGCTTGTATAGCGGCTGTGGCCAAGCCGACCCAAGCATGGTTTCCTTTATGAGAAGGGAAAGTTTCTTTCTTCCCGAACGTATCTTACATGGATTTAAGATGAGAATCTCCTTTCTCTCATTAGAGTTTTTCTCGGTCTTATCATTTTTGCTAGCTTTAATGATGGAAGCCCAGATATGGCTTCCTCTATGAGAATGGGTTGGATCTCCCCTTTTATCACCATTTCTCATGGATTTGGGTAGCTTATATTGATTTTGATGTATAAGAGGGAGAGACCCTCCCTATTCTCGCTGGAGCTTCCTTTATTTTTGTCTTGTCATTTTCTTAGCTTCCATTCATTATTTTGTTACATGCGTTGGGATGGTCTCTTGTCATTCTCTTTTCTCTTTTCTCATTATTTTGACCATTTGACCTAGTGCATATCAGAATCCGTAGTGACCATTCCAAACTAGGACAGGTTGCTTACCTGATTGTAGGTTGTTTGAAACCGCTGTGTGCATAGTGAAACCCTAGTTCTTAACGAAACTAGGACAGGGAAACCCTACCCCTCCATAGGGGTGTTTTGGCTCTCACTTGCTTGTTATGTGCTTTTAGAGTGTGTCTCTACAGGGAATGCATGTATTAATTTGCAAGTCTGGGTATCAGGCTTGCGGGCATCAGTATTTGAAGAATCAGTTTTACCTGAGGGTATAAGATCTGGGGCAGTGATTTGGGAACAGTGATCAGTATTGAGAAAAGTGTGTTTCAACTAACAAATATCAATTGTGTGTTGTGTTTATTTAAGCTGTTATGCTGTTCATTTTTTTGGTTGTATGTTTCCTTATTATGCTTTATTTATCTTTTTGCAAGGTAGTTTAGCACAATTGCTTCTGACTAGGCAGATATTTCCCAAGCACTTTGGATTAGAGATCGGAGACTTCATCGATTTGTGGATCTGATAGACGGACAACCAGTGTTCCATTCCTTACCCCCAGTTACTAGACGGAGGTCAGTTAGGCGCAGTTCATCAGTATAGCAGTTACCAGATCAGTGGGCAGAGGTTTCTGTTTCTATCGCATTGAAAGAACATACACCGATTCAGTTAGATACGCATTTTACAGTTGAAATGGAAGAGATGATGCGTCAGTTCCAAGAGAATATGCAGGCCATGCAGCGGGATGCTGCCCGCCAGGCAAAGGTTGCCACTCGTCAAGTAGAAATTGTGGCTCAACAAGCAGAGTTAATCGCCAGACTTCAAAAACAACAGCAACCACAACCACAACCACAGCAAGTCGGAGCATCTGCTTCGTATCCACATCCACCCCCACCCCCACTAAGAGTTCCAACACTCAGGGAGACGGTGAACGTCCAGGACAATATGGATATACCAACGGGGCCAGCTCCACCCCCAATTCTACCTCAGCTGTCCAAAGCACCCTCTAATCTAGTGGATACACCATTTGAATTTGAGGTGGATCCAACAGCGCTGAAAGTGAGCAAGTTAGAAAGCTATTCACAAAGGCTCAAGGAGCTCATTCCATTTCGGATATAGAGGATGGATATACCAATTCGGCGGTGACTTTGTCGGACCAGTTTAAGATGCCATATATCGACCGGTTCGACGGTTCTAGGGACCATATGGTGCACCTGCAGTTGTTCTCAGATATCCTAAGGCCGATGTGCCTCTCCAGATTGTAAAAGCTTTCCCTTTTCGGCCGGACCCTGTCGGGTGTTGTGGCTATTTGCTATGTAAAGCTGGAGGACTCTGTCAAGAGAAGTTGGGAAGAGATGGCTGAGTCCTTTGTAGCTCAATACTCTTATAACACGCAGATCGAGATCACAACTCGTGATCTCGAGACGACGAGGCAAGAGCTGAAGGAGAGCTTCTTTGACTTCGTAACCCGTTGGAGGGCCAAAGCCTCGATGATGACCATCAGGCTAGTTGACAAAGATCAGATACAGATGGTTGTGCGCAACCTCCAGCCCAAGCTTATGCAAAAGATGATCGTCCTCCCACTTTCTACCTTTGCGGATCTACATGAGATTGGGGTGCGGATCAAGGATGCCATGAAGCAAGGTCTGATTGACCATGAGAGAGAGCAGCCCAAGAGGGCATTCAATCGCGGTGCGATGCAGGCACGAGTAGTGCTGTATCGGCCAGGACTTCAGATGTGGGCATGGTCACCACCACCACCACTCCAAGAACACTTACAGCTACCCCCTTCACTGGTGTGTCCAGAAGTAGCTCACAAATAGCTAGATACCCACCCTGAGGCCAAAGAACCTTTACTCCACTATACATGCTCTTGTCCAAAGCTCTAGGGGTTTTAATTAGGAAAGGGCATTTGAAGCCCCTAGAGCCGCGACCACTACCAGACAAACTTCCTGCTTCCCACAACCCAGCCAAATACTGCGCCTTTCACCAACAGCATGGTCATGACACTGACCAGTGCTATAGACTGCGTCATGAGATCCAGGATCTCGTTGACAATAGGGTGATCGTGCCTCCAGAGAAGCCGAACGTCACCACCAACCCACTCCCACCACATAACCAAGCTCCACCTCCCAAACGTATCAACCTGATCTAAACCTCGGTCATTCCATATGACCTGAGCATATACATCACACCTTCCCACCTATCCAAGCCGGAGGTGTTCATTCCTAAAAGCACGAATTTGTACATGTTGAGCATCTCCCTAACCCAACTCAAACCGATGGTGGTGACTATCGAAGATAGAATTGGGTCGACTGTGGGGGCATATGGGAATGATCAGTCAGAGCCTGAGGGGTCTACGAGCTTCATATACAACCCGAGTGGTTACATCACATCAACGGGCCAGATTAAGCCAAGGATAGAGTTGCCAGTTGGGGCAGAGGTCTGTGTGGTCCGGGAGGATGGACCTAATCAGGGGCTAGATGACCTAGCAGGGCTAGAAGAGGATATCGCAAATCTGTAATTCTTCAATGAACAGGATCCGGGGGACGTGACTGTCAACTGGTTCGATTTGGAGGGGTCAGTAGAGAATACAGAGTGGCTTAGTGACCAACCGGATGTCGTTGAACAACCTCAGCTAGAACAGGGGCAATCAGGAACTGGGACATCATCAGTGGCCGGAATGGCCGGGAATCAGGAGCAACTGCCGGAGAGCACTGGTGTAAAGAATTTTGCTTAGAATATGGGCAGTTTGAGTACGGAAGATACTAAACACCAGGCTGCACTGAAGCAGTTTG